TTCCGTCCTCTATCCCGCTACCCTATCCTCCTTACCCGTTCTACCCCTTTCCCCCCCCTCATGCAAAGCTTTCCCCATTGGGGTTTTGGTGCTGGCCGAGGTTGTTTGTGTTTTGCAGGATTTCCCACGACCTTACCATTTGTAGATAGTCATGCATCTTGTATGGAAACCGCCAAAGGCGGTTCCCACTAACTAACAACTGCTCTACAACTGTCTCGTGTACCGTCTTTTGTAACAACCCTCCCTGTGACTCAACTGAACCCGTGTGACTGTACAACTCTCAATATGTCTTATAAGTCTGGTTATATCGAGTCCTCTAACGGCCCTCGCCGCGATAACTCGAGGTCGAGAGTCGAAGACTCTCGACATGTGTATCGTCCTACTGAATCTGTACCCTATGGGTCATCATCACTCCGCTCTCCCCCCAGTACTCAACATATGACATCACCTCACAATCTTGGAGATCGTGAATACTTTGAGGCCCATCTTCCCATGATGCCGGCACGTTCGCTACGCGAACGCCAAGTCGCCGCCCATCCACCGTCTGTTCCCTCCTTCACCAGTCATCATGTTTCCCGCCAACGGTACGTTCCCTTTGGGAACGCCAAGTCACCGAAGGCCCTACTAGTCAGTCCTCATTGCATGCTTATGACATCAACCTGCTACCGGTACGTTTGCACTGCGAACACCAAGTACCTGATAGCAACTATATGGAGTTCTCACCCATCTCACAAGTCGCGACCTCGCACACGGTACGCTCCATTGAGGAGCGCCAAGTACCCATGGCTGACCCGTCCGTCCTGGCATCTCCAACTACCTACCATCAATCCCTTAATAGCTCACTACATCACCAATCATGATCGATGGGAACTCAATCGTCCACCCCCAGGCAAGACTGGGATCACTCATCGATCACATATCCTGTTATGGTACAGACCAGATATGACCTCACTCATCCCACTATAAGAACGGATTGAGGAATGGGGAATTTCCCCCATCCCCATAACACAGCTCACCAAAGCGCATTGCACTCTAATAAACTGCCCATATCCCTTCCACCTCCCACTCACACTGATATTGCATGTGTAGAGACAGTCTATATGACTGTCTCCCTGCTGGTCTTGCATCAGATCAAGGGTTTTTCAACCTTTGCTGAGTGCCAGCTCACTGAAGTGCATGACGCTCCAATGAGCTGTGAGTCTGAAAGGGCTCATATCTTCCCCACACCTCCTCTCATGCTGAGGTTGTAGACAGTCTATGTGACTGTCTCCCTACTGGTTTTACACCAGCGATACAGCTCTTCAACTTTTACTGAGGGCCAACTTACAGAAGCGCATTGTGCTTCACCCTTTCTTGGGCCTGCATCATGTATGCAGCCCCTACTCCCACTCTCCATTATTACCATAACATCTAAAAGACTTTATCAACTGCCTTATCTTGTTAATTAAATATCCAAATAATTTATGATGTGGAGTTGAAGTGCAATCAGATGAAAAATGAAAAGAAAACCCCACACAAGCAAGGTCTGGGCGGCGCAGCAGCCATTTCTAGTATTCATGCATATCCCGACATTTTTGGGAAGATGAGCTTCAAATGTACCTTCAATTTGCTTCATTTTGCACGATTTTTTGCGTGATTGTAGATTGATCTTCTGTCTGTATTTTGGCCAGACGGATTCTTCAAATTGTTTGTCAATAAAAAGTTATTCTTGATACATTAAATCGCTTTCTAACATATTGTGTCATATCCATTCCCGGCCATCGACTTCCGGTCCCTCCGATCCCTCCGGACTACCTCTGCTCCTTCTCTACTAACCTCGGAGCTCCCATATTCCGCAATCCTCTCGGTACCCCTCGATGGTCACCACCCCCTCCTTTCAATTTACCTACACCTCCCTAAGTACGGAGCCCTGAAGACTTCCGGACAGCTCCAACGTCCGCTAGCGCACCCCCACCTCTGCTGGGCAATACACTCACCTGCCCTGCAGAGCCCACCTTCGGGCCTATCCCTCCTTTCCATTTCTGGGTTATCACCCGCCTTTCCGTTAACCCCACGACCTGACTCGTCGGTAATATTCAGTTGGCTAATGTTTAACCCCGTTAGCTCTGCTCCATTTGGCTCTGCCATTTGCGGACCCGTCTTCGCTGTAACCATATATATATCCCACTTGTACATAGGTTACACTTCAGTAATAAAATCGACTAGAGTTACCCCCCTTCAGTTCTGGTTGCCAGTTAGTAAGTTAGGGCACGGACGTGTTACTAGGCACTGCACTCTTGGCATAAGTCGCTGAGGCCGAAGCCCTCCGCCACGGAGACTTTCCTTTGTCTCGAACCTGGTCTCTGACACAACCCACTTCAGTGCAGTCCAGAATGTACTTTTCTCAATAATTTACGGGTTGATTCAGTCCCGAATTATATATTTTGGAAGCTATTCAAATGGGCTATTCATCGATGTAAAGTGTGTTGACACCATGGGAAACAGTCCTGACACCCCTTTAGACAGTGGTCAGCATGAGCACAGACATTGAGTTATCCCAAAGACTCGCATCTGAAAAAGTATTTTGCGTTTTTCTCAATAATTTACTGGTCAATTTAGTCCCAAATTATATATTTTGGAAGCTATTCAGGTGGGCTATCCATTGGTGTAAAGTGCGTGGAAACCGTGGGAAACAGTCCTGACACCCCTCTGGACAGTGGCCAGCATTGTGCACAGACAGTGAGTTGGACAGCCAATTTCGCATTTTTCTCAATAATCTATTGGTCAATTCAGTCTCAAATTATATATATTCTGGAAGCTATTCAACGGGGCTTATCCAACTATGTAAAGTGTGGCTAAACCATGGGAAACAGTCTTGACACCCCACTGGACAGCAGCCAGCAATGTGTACAGATTATGAGTCGGGAGCAATATAACAATACTTTGTTGGGTATTGATCATTGTATAAATTTTAGAAATTCATATAAAACCCGACGGTCTACCTTATATGCCTGGGCTCGCTGGCCGAGTGGTAGGGTTGTGCTGTATTACTATAGACTGTATTGGTGCTTCAATATAATAGGTATGTGTAGTATGTATTCATAGCCCGTAGTATGTAGGGTTGTCTGTTCGAACCCCTGAAGAATATCTGCATTTCTTTTTGGGCTATTGCCCTGTGGTCACGTTGCAATGCATTTAAACTCAATGGTCTCGTTGCAACGCAGGGTGGCTGTTGCAACATCACGTAATCAACGCAAGATTTGGATTGCCACCGATCCGTTTTGGCTGTTGTATTGTGTTGCATTGAGTTATAATGTATTGATACAGATTTGTATTTTTTCGGACATAATTATGGCTACATCCAATATGTGTTGTGTGGTCAAGAGGAATGGTTTTCGGTGGCCATCCATGGACTATGATTTTTACACGTGACTGGAACCCGGCAAGCCGTAGGCTTGCCGACCCCCATTTCTAATGCGCAGCACTTATGCAGGCGCTTAGTGATGTCCTCCACATTATCCTCCACATACGTCCCGGACATCTCCGGTGACTCAGAGCCGACTCCATTATGTAAAGAATCTATGAATGGTTCGATTGCGAGTCAAGCCCAATGGACTCTGTAAATTCCGTTTGCATGTGATGCCCCCGGGTGACTCCAGCACCAGGACTTACGTGTCTATTTAGTATTTTGACTTTTCGCCTTCGATCCAGTCTCTCTTTGCGAGCCTCGGATTTTTCCACTCCGCTCAATTTTGGGTCTCGCGGCGGTCGTCCGCTTCATTCCGTCAACTCCACGGTCTGGGAGCCTCCACGAAGGCAGTGGGAGCTCTATAGTGCGCTGCCGAGCGCGAATTGTGCTCCTGGCCTTATCCTTTCCTTCTTTTGCTCCTACTCATACAGTACTACCAATGCCAGGAAAGGATTGTTGGCCGTGGATGACATTTAATCAGCAGTTTTCTGGTCTAAAAAAATAGTTGTGATGCATGATGGCCTCGGCGCCATCGTCGTGACTAAACCCAATGGGTCAAAGGCATTCCCCTTCCCTCGTGTCCCAAAAAATCCTCTGGATTTAGGGATCATATCGTTCGAGACAGAGGTCGGGACATGCGTGGGTAGTCCCGCTGGCTTGTCGCCCCGATAATTGTGAACGAGTATATGTTTTGGGTTTAACAAAGGCAAATGAAACTGGTAGTACCATGAGGGAGAGGGGATGCGCGTCTGCATGCGGCAGATGCGTTTGGTTCATGTCTCTCCTTTACGGACACCTTTACTCTTCGTCAAATCGCACCAAAGTCTTCAAGCGGTGTTCAAGGAAGTTGTCATCGACTGTCTTGGTGGCGAGATTGTCCTTTTTCTGGCTGTTATCGCCACTGAGAACATTCTCCGTCATAGTTTGGATAATTTCATCGCTTCTGAAGGGACGTCATCTGGGTCGATAATCGCCTCCTTGCTCTTCGAGCCTCGAAGCTACCTGTAAACATTATCCTCTATGGCTCTTCTCTCCCTCTACGTATGATGTACCAACCTCGTTGGGTAGCGGGCAGCCGGGCACTGTTGGCACGGCCCTCGCAATTTTCAGGGGTCTGCCTGTTGAGAGGTGAGGCACATCATCTAACGAGAGCCAACGGTAAGACAAAGGTTGGATTCATGCCTCGGGTTCTCTCTATCCGTTCTCACGGCTCACAGACGCGACGTTAATAGGACGAACAGGACGGTACTCAAGCGGGATGTACAATTATCATGACGTTCCCTCATGCGACGAACATAGAAGCTGGGCAAGAGCATGAACTAGTAAGAGCAGTAGAAGAAGATAAGAGATAAGACCAAGAAAAAAATTGCAATGGAGAACGTGCCAAAGATCACTCGCCCTTTCTGTAGAAGTCCTCTAGATTGTTGCAGGAGGGGAGAAGGGGGTTGGGTACCAGGTCCCTCCGCTGAACCGCCACCATCCACATAAGGGTCATCTCTACGCGAGACAACCGTCGGAGGTATGGAGAGTGCAAGTTCTTGCACGACCTCACTCATTGTGAGTCGAAGATGGGGAGTAGAATTGCAGCATTTTTCGAGCATTCGCTGGGGCTGGTTCTGGAAATTCCAGACATAGGGTGATCTCTGTTGCAAAAGGGAATGAGCGATTTGCAGATTATTCTGACTCTTGAAAGGTCGTTCGCCGGTGAGAATCTAGATGGCGGAATTTCAAACCTTGGTTGTTGAAGAACAGGGGGAAAACAGACCTGCATTGCAGTGCAACCAAATGCCCAAACATCGGATGCTGTTGTTCGACGTGGCCATTCGTCGCTGTACTGCACTAATTCTGGGGCTGTGAATCGCATTGCTCCCACAATGCCCAGGTTAGCACTAGTGTTCCCCAATGAGAAACCCTCCAAAATAGTATGAATCCCGAAATCAGCAATCAGGGCTCTTCGATCACTGCCTATGAGGACATTCTCCTGAATGGGTGGTTTAGTGAAAGCTACCGCCAAACGTGATTGCGTACAGGCTTCATGTTCCCGTGAATGATTGGTGGTTCCTGACTGTGAAGATATCTGAGTCCTTCTGCTAAGTCATGAATCTGCGCTCGTGAATTGAAATAATTGGTTGCTTGACTTGGTAGGAGACCTACCATATTGATTTCGTCTATTTGAGGGTTCGATTGCAGGTATGATGCGACGTTGCCAAATCGACACCACGACGTTACGAAGCCTACTGTCAAAGTCCTCCCTTCTACCTCAAGGATGTATCCGTAGAATGGCACGATGTTTGGATGATTTATTTTGCTCCATATGTCTATCTCTCTGTGCAATTGCTAAGGCGAAAGTGATATCAAAGGATACGTTTTATGGTATACGACCAACTCACCTGGGCTAGTTTTTCGTCGCCCTGATCCTTGGAGGTCGGGTCCAAGATGTCGGGAGTGAAAAGTTTCAAGCACACCTTGCAGAGGTCGTTGGGAGTGTCAGGCAAGTTCAGGATGGCCTCAACAAGAGCATCAGCCCACCAAGATAGCACCACCTTCAGCTCGAGTTCTTTGCCACTGCGCCCGAAAAAGTTGAGAGTATTCTCCGCTACTTATTAACACTCTTCCGTTCTTCTGTATTTTCCCTGATAAGTCCTTCTCACTCAGACTATTCAGCTTCATAAATGCCTCCATGAAACGCCCTGAATTGTTGAGATTCATGATGTTGACCAGCTGAGCCGTACAGCTGAGTTTGCAGTTATCGGGGCGGTGAGGGTCTTACCTCATTGTGGGAGTGTGTGGTCAAGCGTAATATAAAAAACCTCAGCAGCCAGCTTTGTGTTACCCCAATATGGCAATTACATAAATCCCCAACCAAGGGAAATTTCACATCGCGTGACAGCTAGAATCATGCTATAAAAATTACAGAGATGTTTAGCCTTGGGATGTAGCTCTCGTACCACACCGATTTTTCGCGTACTTTTTGATGAAAACACTAGCGCCTCCATCCTCGCCGAATCCAGGTGTTGTCCGCACGCACAAGGGACGACCATCCCCCTTGCAAACTTAGGCAGGTGACTAGCCCCTATCGGAATAGATGCACTCCCTTCCTTCCCATCAATCGAGTATCAATGCTTTTTCCAGATCGGTTCTTTGAGAGATCTAATTCTTCAGAGGTTCTTGGTGAACTTTCCTTTCCAAAGTAGTCTTGGTGCCAGACTCTCTGGTGGGCTGCGCGTGACCATAGGGGCATTGAATTGATGTGTCATGATGTGTTGGTGTTTGTGTGTGCCAAGCCGATGAAAAAACCATCACCGACTCTATTTCCGAACGGCTCCGTTGTTAACACCGCTTAAATCCGCGACCAGACTGTCCTAACAATTTAGATCTCCGATGACGTACGGCCATCTTTCTTTTACATATGAAGCACTCATTCCCGACATTTCTTTGTGGGAATTGCGTCATAAAAACTGGCTCAATCTCTACGGATCGATGTATCGTCGAGGATGAAGGAAATATGCTTACTGCAGGTTTTATCTCACCTTGGTGCTCAAGATCAAATCCATACGCAGGTAGGGGAATCGGTTCATAACTTGCTCAGGCAGGCTTGATTCTGGCGAACACTAGATTTTGGATGTTGCATACAAAGCTCCCGCTAAAGAGAGGCCGGTTACCTGCCTATCTGCCACATATAACAACAATCGTTGAACCTCCAACAGATGCCGCATGCTGCGCTAGCGTACTAGTGTCCCGGCAACTCCCAGAAACTCTACCTTGCTCCTGCCGCCTGGATTATGGCCCTGAGCCTCGAGGCATATGGAAGGGTTGGTAGCCTCATCGACCGACTCAGGGCGCCTGGTCAGTTCTCCTGCAATCAACTAGTGTGCGTAACACTCTCGACACTTTCTCTCACATTCCAGCATCCAGAATTTCTTGCAGGATATGGTGCGTTATTCACTTGTATGTGTGTGAGATCACGTTCCGATGTCTTTTTTGGTCGCGATGATCAGGGACAAATACTTTCTGAACCTTGTGCGTAAACTTCCCGACATGACCTTGCTACTTTGTCCGCTTGCAAAGCACTAATGTGCATTTCCTTATAACTCCGAATCACATCCGACACTATACACAAGCCTTGTCGCGTGCCGCTGGCGATTCAGAGTTCAAACAAATTTTCGCCCTACCCACCGAGAAGGAGACCGTGAATGTGGACTCCGGAACATCCGAGCTCTTGCCAGTTCCTGGAGACCTTTCCGAGAACTTAACAAAAGAAATAATGTCGAAACCGCGAGAGTTAGTGGGTCATGGCGGGCACTCTCGTGTGTATAAAGCCATGTGGAAGAGGGCCGGAGTGGACGACGATATTCGGGCAGTGAGTAAGCCACCCTGACATTTTGGATTTTCAATGACTCGATGATCTTTCAAGGTCTGCCTAAAACTCTTAGACCCAATCATACTCCAAGATCCCAAGGCGGAGGAGTACCAAACACTCGAGAGGGTAAGTTCCTTCATGCCTTATTGCAGAAGCCAGTCTCCGTCATCATTTTCGCAGCATCTGGCAAGAGAAATGAAAGTTTGGGGGAGATTGCGCCATGAAAATATCGCTCGCCTCTACGGATATATCGCCAAGGTGAAAGAAAACGTATTAACTGCCGGCTTTGTCTCGCCTTGGTGCCAAAATGGAACCATCACAACCTACCTGAAATCCAATCCACGGGCAGACAGATTCACATTAGTGAGTCAATCCATCAACATATCCAGGTAGGCTTTGGTTTGATGGGCACTAGTTTCGAGACGTTTCGTGTGGGCTCCGATATCTCCATACTCACGAGCCACCCATAGTTCACGGGGATATCAAGCCTGTAAGTTTACTCTGGGGCACTGTACATTAACCGTGTTAATGGCCCGCGCCAGGACAATGTTGTCATCGGAGATAACGAGAGAGCGTTGATAACCGACTTTGGACTATCGAAGATCATGGACGGTGTCAAAACGGGCCAAACTAGCACAAACTTTGCCATTTCAGGGAGCCCAAGATATATGGCTCCTGAATTGATGCGTGACACGGATGGGAAACCATTGCGCACGCCGAAATCAGACATTTGGGCTTATGGATGCACATCAATGCAGGTCGGTCTGGTACGGGGGTTAAATTAGTATAGCAGACTTCTAATGGCTGGTCGCAGATCCTCGTCGACAAACCACCATACGCGGAGAAAAACAATCTACAAGTATTTCACTGCCTCCTGGGGGGCCAATCTCCCTACGACTGGGATCTTAATGTCGAATACGAGCTCGTTTTTTCCATGTGTTGTCATCAAGAACCTTCCGACCGACCCACGATAGGCGCCGTAGTTGAGAAGCTTGCATTTTCACGCGAATAGTCTGCTGGGCCGGATTCCCTTCTCGAACTTTGTTAAAACGTCGGATAACTATCATATTGTTACTGTATCTAGTAGTAGTCTTGGGGCGGTGCAAAGGGTACAATACTCATTAGTCGTCATCAGAACCAGAGTAGTCTCCTGTCCCCAGTTACAGAACTGAGTCAGGGCAGGAATCTTGTACACCAAGTGTAAATCAAAACGTCACGATGCCACTTTTGAAGGAATAGACTTCTGGCATCACCAGCTCCCTTAGGTCCTCAGTGATCCATGCCATGTCAGCTACCGTATTTCCAATAGTTTGGGGTCATGGCCAGCACGGTTGCTCCTTCGCAGTCACGTCATTCTGGAGTGTCATGGAGTCGAAAGCGACTGTGAGATGTCGCAATCAATTGAGGGTCATCAACTCAAATCCCTGCTGCAGGGAGGATCATCGGCAGCCCAAGCTTGGAGCCGATTAAAGACCTACTTCAATGAGATAAGTACTCAGTCCGAAATCCATCACACTACTCCATCTCCCACTCCATCTCACAACAAACACCCAACTCCAATATAGAAATCCAGTACAGCAAAACCGGCCAGATTTCTAGTCAAGAAGCCAAAGTGCTCAAGCTGTAGAAAGATCGGACTTATGATGAAAAATTGTTGGGCTGCAGGGTGGAGCTGAAGGTATCAGCCCAAAGAGGATGAAGTTGAAGTCGAGGAAGCTGCTGGGAGAACCAGGCAGTCAGTTGGGAGAGAACATCGGAAATCATCTCCGACTCACCTGAGATACACTGCACATTCAGACGAGGATTCTTCACCTAGACAAAAACATCCCGAATCCCCTAAACATATTCCATTCATCATTGACTCCGGAGCGTCGTCACATATGACTCATGACTCATCTCATCTCCCCAAATATGGTAGCTGATAATCGACTCATCGAGGCCCTCGGCATCGGGAGCATCACTGGAAAAGTTCACCTACATAGATAGAAGAGATTAATCAATAATATTCCGAGACGTCCCATATGCACCAGAACTCCAAGATCCCGTATCAGTATCAACCACAAAACTTGGGAATCAACGTGGTGCAGTGTCAATCCGAGGCAGGGCCACCAACCAAGACCCGGAGAAATCAAAACTTATGTCCTTTATTTGTGGAAGTCGAACATATAGAGGCTGGGTCCTGCCTAAGTCGAACACGCACACACGTTTTCAGACAGCGAGGTCGAGTCTAAAAGACATTCTCCATCGATACAAAAATCGCCGATTGGTCCTGACCCCAGCGGGCTAGGCAAAGTCGATCGAAGGTAGACACAGATGTAATGGAGCTGTGAAAGCTCAGATGAAGCCTTCCCGAGATGGATCAGGAGTTATGATCAAGTAGGACAACATTGGGACACACTCGTGTATGCGAGAAGAGTACGAATTTGGGTGGCGGAGTCACGGAAAACGCGGCCCATCCTGGAACCGTCAACAATAAACGGGAGCTTTTATAGTTTTAATGCTTATGCAGGATGGAATATTGTTGGCTTGCACCAGTCTACGTTGTGTCTTCGTCCGTTATTGCTTATACCTGGCCTGGTAGCCCCACATTGCCGGCATTAGCCGATCTGAAGTCTCTCTCATCCGGCAATTCCCTGTGACCCCTAACCCCTCCTAATTGCTCACTTACCTTGATGATGACTCTGAGCCTCGAAGCATATGGGGATCACACTGAATGGGCAGGTTGCGTCCCCTGATTACGTCAATTTGTGTGCATCACATCCTTTTTCCTCATCTTCGCGTCTCCTTCCTTGTGACTGTGAGCGCTTACATCCATTTCCCTCAGCACTTTTTATCACGTTCCAACGCTCGAAATTCCTTCTAGTAAAATATGGTGCGTTGATCGCTTCACTTAGATGCGTTTGTCGGATCACATTCCGATGTGCTTTTTGGTCGCGGTTCAGGGTCGAATACTCTCCAAACCTTGTGCGTAAATTTTTGGGACAACCTTTCTCTTGCAGAAGAGCCCTAATGCGTATTATAATCCCAATCGCGAATGTCCATCTCGGTGAATCATCGGGTGGCTCTGAATCTTCAGCTCAAGAGAAGAGAGCAACTTTTGACGCCAACGATTGGCCAGCTTTCGCTGTGCGACAAATGCGAATTTGTGCGTAGTTCGTGTTTATATGTTCTACAAGAAGCTTTACATTGGTTTCTCATTATCTTGTAGCGACGGAGGATGCTCATGCTACCGAACTCGATCTCGATGACAACGAACACGACACATCCCTCGCTGCGTGCGGTTGTCACGGAAGTATTATTAGTGGCGAGCCCAGGCCCTTTCGTCCCGACTATCAGCCTCAGAATCGGAGTAAGTGATTTCCGTGTTGTTGAGTTCTTACGCTCAAGAGAATCCGCTACAGTTCAAATCAGTCGCGCTACAGTTCAAACTAACTGCAATGCTGCAGAGGCCTTTGAATTTAATTATGCGAATGGCAAGTGGGACACGTTTCCCAATGAGTTGTCTCTCATCCGACATTATATACTAGCCAATGCTGCCTTGTCGCATGCCATTGGTGATTCGGAGCTCAAACAAAACTTCCTTCTATCCCTCAAGACGCAGATCGTGACCAAGACATCCAAGTTCTTGCGAGTTCCTGGTAACCTTTCCGAGAACTTATCAGATGAAATAATGAGGGAAGGACGACAGCTGGTGAAGTACGGCGGACATTCTTGGGTGTATAAAGTCCAACGGAAGAGGACTGGAGCCGATGGCGATGGTCAGGCAGTACGTGATCCGTCCCATCTAACGTTTCGGATATCCAGTGACTCTACCATCCTCTAAGGTCTGCCTAAAGCTCTTAGTTTCAGAAGTCACACCTCACGGCTTTAAAGTGGAGAAGTATCGGACGCTCGAGAGGGTAGGTTCCTCCATGTCTCGTTACGGGAGCTATTCCGCAATCAACATTATCGCAGCATTTTGCAAGAGAAATGAAAACATGGGGGGGATTGCGCCATGAAAATGTTGCTCACCTTTGCGGATATATCGTTGAGGAGGTGGAAGGAAACGTTGTAACTGCAGGCTTTGTCTCGCCTTGGTGTCAAAATGGATCCATCACAACGTACCTGAGACTAAGTCCCCAGGCAGACAGATTTACATTGGTGAGTCAAACCATCAACACGCCCAGACAAGATTTTGATGAGCACTAGGTTCGGGATGTGGCATATGGACTTCAATATCTTCACGATCACGAACCGCCCATCGTTCATGGGGATATCAAGCCTGTAAGCAGACCGCGGAATCGCTGTATATTGATCGTGTTAATGACTTGCGCTAGGATAACATTCTCATCGGAGATGACGGGAGAGCATTGATAACCGACTTTGGATTATCCGAGACCACAGACAGCTTCACAACGGGCCAAATGAGCACAAACTTTGCCATTTCAGGGACCGTAAAATATATGGCCCCTGAATTGGTGGGTTACTATGAGAGGAAACCAATCAGGACGCTGGAGTCGGACATTTGGGCGTATGGGTGCACATCCATCCAGGTAGGTCTGGGACGAGGTATATCAGCATGGCACGTCTCTGATGGCTGGTCGTAGATCCTCACCGACAAACTGCCGTATGCATGTAAAGACAATCTACAAGTATTCCACCTCCTTCTGCGAGGTCAACCTCCCTTCCACTGGGATCTCGACGTCAAACACGAGCATATTTTTTCCAGGTGCTGCAGCCAAACACCCTCTGACCGACCAACGATCAGCCGCATTGTCGGGGAGCTTGAATTCCTAGCGCCTTCGAATATCGTTGCAAACAATGCGCGTATTTGCTCATGAACGGCTGGCCAGCAGTGGATGATTCTGCCTGTGAAACCTCGTCCATTCTTCATGCGTCAGTAGCCTAGCCGAGCTTCGCATTACCAAGTTCGTGCTAGTAGCCTCACTCACGTCCTGCGTTACCGAGTTCGTGTTAGTAGCCCCACTTATATTATCAATCTATTTAGTAGGATCACGCAACAGGTCGGGCCAACAGGCATGAGACGATACCTGCATCCACAAACGTCCCCGAATCGTCTTCTGCTTGGACAATACGAGCGCGATCAGAATGACCTGGCAAGCCACAAGGGCAAACCCTACAGGCTTGGGCTCGTTCTCGCGCGCGCGAATCTTTGCGCTGTTACTCGTCTTTAACTCAGCAATCCGGCAACTTCCAACAGCCCTCCGGCGTCTGCTTTTAACACAGCCCGCTTCGCGCGCCTGAATCTGAGTCAAAGCTATGAAGGCTTGAGTGCGGAGTTGCATCCGGTTAGAATATCGAGTGTGGGTGCGAGGCATGAAACTAATCGGGCTGAGCTCGTACTCCCACAATCAGAGCTGGGTGGTTCTGTATTAGAAACGTGTTGTTTCTTCCGTTTCGGGTTTGCGAAGGGTATCAAAACCAGTTGGTTTCAGACTTTGGCTCCGACCGCGTCAGACAGATCAAATCGGGCAAGTCAGGCGCGCGCCTCCTTTTCCAGCGATTCTTTATGTCCTTGTTAACTCTTGTGCACAACTGCCAACGATTTGTCTTCCCTTCCAACCCGCGCCTGTGCCTTCCTGGCCCGTCGAATCCAATGTTTCTTCTACCTACCTGTTTCTTCCCGAAAAGAGAAGCAACTTTTGAATCAAGAAACAGGAAGAAACAGGCAGAAAAAACCTGTTTCTTCGAACCGAACAACTGTTCCTCTGAGTGCTTGCATCCCCATTACTCGTCCTCGACATCTCACGTTCCAGCATCCTCCGAAATTCCTTCTTGCAAGATACGGTGCGTTTATCGCTAGTAGCGTTTTCGAGATCCCGTTCTGATGTACTAATCAGGGTCAAATACTCTCCGAATCCTGTGCGCATATTTTTTTGAGACGACTTGGCTTTTTTGTCTTCTTGCCGAAGAGCCAGCACCAATATGTACCCACTTATACCCCCGAATCGTGAATGTCCATCTCGGTGATTTATTGGGTGGATTTGGATTTTCGGCTCAAGAGAAGAGGGCAACTTTGGACAGCGACGATAGGCCGGCCTCCGTTGGGCCAATCTGTGCGTAGTTCGCGGCATTTTTCAGGAAGCTTTACATTGGTCTCTCATCGTTTTGGGAGGATGCTCATGCTGCTGAGCTCGATATTGAAGAGAATGAACACTATCACCCCTGGCTATCTGCGGTGGTCACGTACGTATTAGAGGCAGGTCCAAGCCTCTTAGTCAGGACCATAGGCCTCGGAGTTGGTGTAAGTATTTTCCGTGTCCTCGAGTTTTACGCTCAAGAGAATGTGCTACAGCCGGCGCTGAACAGGGCTGTGCGGAACTTAATCGTGTGAAAGGTAAGTAACCTCATCTGGCATTATATGCAGGCCAATCCTGCTTTGTCGCGTGCTATTGGTGACTTTGAATTCAAGGGGAGCAAATCTACACCGAAACATCCGAGTTCTTGAGATTTCCTGGTGAGAACTTAACAGACGAAATGATGAGGGAAGGACGACAGTCACATAGTGGGGTACGGTGGACACTCACGTGTATGGAGGAGGACCGGAGTCAATGATGATGGTAAGCCGCCCTAACGTTTTGGATGAGGTCTGCCTAAAACTCCTGGTTCCAGAAGTCACACTTCAAGATCCCAAAGCGGAAAAGTATCAGACATCTGAATATCTCATTGTGGAACCCAGTCCACAATCAACATTATCGCAGCATCTCGCAAGAGAAATGAAAGTATGAGAGAGATTGCGCCATGAAAATGTTGCTCGCCTCTACGGATACATCGTCGAGGAAGGAAACGCAGTAACTGCAGGCTTTGTCTCGCCATGATGTCAAATGGATTTATCACACGTATTCGAGATCAAATCCACGGGCGGACAGATTTACATTGGTCAGTCGATCCGTCAACATGCCCAGACAAGCCTTTAACGAAAGATTTCGATGAACACTAGATTCGGGATGTTACATGTGGCCTCCGATATCTTCACACTCGCGAACAACCCATCGTTCATAGGGATATCAAGCCTGTAAGCGCACTGCGGAAGGGCTGTGTATTAATCATGTTAACGACTGCCTCGCGCCAGGACAACATTCTCATCGGAAATAATGAAAGAGCATTGATAACCGCCTTTAAACTCTTGGGGATCCTGGGCGATTTCAAACCAGTAGGAGCTTTGCTATTTCAGGGACCATAAGGTTCATGGCTCCTGAATTGGTGCGGTGTACTGAGGGGAAAGTCCTGCGCACTCTGGAATTGCACGCCCACTCATATTGCTAATGTAGTTGCCCTACGTAGCGGACACAGAAAATATCTAATCGTGGCTAAGGATTAGCGCTTCCTCCTCACGCTAGATGGAAGATCAAAGGTCTTCGGGCCTTACCACCTGGCTTTAGTCATTGCCACGTTGTCCGATCCGGAGTCATCTCGGCCAGCGCGGTTTGCGTCATAGCTCCTCGGCGGTCCTATAATCCTGGAGTTTAGACCGAAAGCAACTGTAAGCAAAGCCGCCGCAATGGCCAAATCTCCGTAAGGATTCAAGCCGCTTTGGGGACTGTTCGAGCTCAGTGTTGCACCACCGTTGGACTGATATTCTTTTTTTTTTAAATTTGAGGACATTTTTCTAGGCGGACAAGAAAAAATTACCAATTAGAGTATAACGCCATGGCGATGTGTCAATCCATCCAAAGAATGCATGTACGTAACGATCCTAACCAATTTACAGAACAGGGGAGTGCCATTGTGAACACCAGTCATACGTCATCACGTCCTGAATCTCATTCAAGGACATAAAGCGCCTCCAACCTCCTCGACCAACTTTCGCACTTCCTGCTTGCTGATGCCAGTCGATGAATCTTCAGCACCAAAACCAGATGGTTCAAGCTTGGAAAGAATCTTCTGCTTGGCGTCCAACACCTCTAGCATGTCGCCCACCTCGTTGCTATCCGGCGAGTAAGATGGAGACAAATACACCAAGAGAGCAAGGGAAGCGACGAGCCGATGAACTAAGTCAGAGTAAAAACCATTCAAAAAAAAAGCATTGGAACGAATAGTCGAGATATAAAAACTTACCAACATCCTCGCTTTCCTTCTCCCTCTCAATAGCCTCAAGCAAAGCACAAGCCAGCTCAGCGTCCTCCGCTCCACTTCCATCCACCTCCCTTCTCGCCAGCTCATCCCAATACGCATCAGAATCCTTCACACTCGCGTGTCTCGCAGCCGCGATATTAAATGCAACGCTCGCAGCGGAACTTCGTACCGAAGAATCGCTATGCAACAGCCCTGCGACCAACACAGGAATCGCGATGGATTTCTCACGAGAGGCTGTTGCGGCGTTGGGAAAGGCAAATGTGTTGGCAGCGAGACGGAGGATGGTGAGTAATACAGGTTTAGGGACGTCAGAAAGAGAGCCAGGATTCGTCGATTTATCGATGTACCCTGAAATTTTCTTTTGTAAGACCGCCGGAGCGTTCGTCGACGCAAGTCTGTTATCAAGGACGGCAAGACGCCAGAGATCAACGAGGGGGAAGAGTCCAACGGGTGGAATGGTGTCTGCGAGCGCACTTGTCATTTCCGACCATTCCTTCACTTGCTTTGTGGTGACGGGAACGTCGACGTGTGATTTGGACGTGGCTGACGTTCCGGGAGGGAAACGTTGCTTGAGGAAGGCGGAAAAAGAGGAGGTGAGAGTGGATTTGGCCTTGATGACAGCGGCCGGACGATTAGATTTGGCATCAATTATAGACGTGAGGCGCGTGATAGGAACGTCAATAGAGGTAGGGACTTGGGAGAAAAGGATAGGAGATAGGGAGATCGCTCGGGTTGCAGGCAATTCAAGGCTTCTATGAGGGTGTGCTATGACCCCAAATAACAATCAATGTGATTTCCCGGCATCAATGAACGAACTCGCACTCACGAGGGAAGGCTGTATTCAGGAAACCTTCGACGGGCGCCCTGAGCTCCGCTATGCTAGGCAAAGCCGACTCCGATATCTGCCTCATTCATGTAAGAATGCAATGCACGACCGCACCACTCCAACAGGCTACGTACCTTCTCTCCTTTCAGAAGGCACAGGACGCTAGGAATGTTCCCGACATTCCACTTCTTTATAACGTCCTTGGCATTGCCAACACTGGCATCAACGCTGACAAAAGCAACCCTGTTCAAATTGGCCTTCTCCTTGGCAAGAGCTTCGAAGGCAACTTCTAGCTTCTTCTCAGAAGGCAAGTTCTGTACAAATAGTGCAATAACGCCTCTATGCTTCTCCAATATAGACTCAAATGATGCTAAATTTGTTGAGACAAGTAGGTGAGAGCTAAGTGACGATAGACTCGGTTGCGTCCCTGCAGCAGCAGGTCCAGACACGGCTCGAGCAGCAACATTTTGTAATAGCGAAGAGCCAACACTAGGAGAGGGAGTTTGCGCGGGGGCAGGGTACGTCTGGGGAGGTGAGACCCCAACGGCGCTCGGTGGAGCGCGACGATACATGCTATCAATCATGGGGCGCATTTGTTGACCCAAGGGAGTGGAAAGGAACTGAGCAGGCAATTCTGCATCGCAAATTAAGCGTAAGAATAATGTTACGGAAAAATACATCTCATCTGCAATTACCTCTGATGTGAGCGGGGATGGTCCCTCCTGTGAGGAAACCAACCACGTCGTTCGTGAAGCTATTGCAGTTGAACTCTGAGGGAACCGTTAATCAAGCTAACCTCATGGAAATTCGGATTGGTTTCCGTACCTAGAAGATGATACTAGAAAATAGCGTTCCAACCGTCTTAGCCGATATGGTACAACTGCTTCCCAAACTCACCTTCTCGGCTGTATAGTGGCCCCTTAGTTCATCGATATAGTCATCATATGTAGCCTGGTCTATTTCTGTCTCGCCCATATCATATACATGAAGAGGCGACCCAAGCTATCCGAGATATGGGTCGACGTCAGCCTTGGTCCCTACCCACCCATTTCACTTCGGAATTGGAAGATAGTACCCACAAATGTCGTGCCAGGAGCAGAGGTAACTATCCCTGGTCCATAATGTATTTCCTTGCCAAAGGCAACGACGGACGTATGCCTTTGAGAGTCAACATTTTTTCAAATTGACAGAACGACGAAACCATGTGAAGGGATGGTAGACGTAAGAAGCTGCAATTCTGTGGCCAGGGAGCAAGGACTGCAAACCGACGTACCATATCCCATCAATCTGGCCTCCAGTTAGAGGGGACATGGCACGAGCCATGCCACGACTAAGATCGTAGACAAATAGTTTTACCGGGCGACCCATATGATGGTCCCAATGAAAGATGAACGATTTGAGGGCTTGGCGGGCGCCTAGGGATTGTCACAAAGACTATGCTGCCTTAGGTTCAAGGCTTAAGTACAAGACCAGGATAATGATCCCCAGGCGTCAGGGGTGCATACGCAAGCACGTTCGAGAAAAGGGAGGAAATAAATACAAACTATTCCGATCGAAGGAACGCGTCACCTTCTCACACACACGTGGTATCAAATGTGCTGTCAACGCGAACAAGCTCCATCGTTGCCGGATCTTCCAGGCTGCAAGAAGAGCGCCAATGGGGAGGATGAGTAAGACTGTCTGAATCATTTGCCGACCACAATGCCACAGTCGAGGGACAGATAACTATCATTTGGGAACAATATTATCCTGCCTTTCTGAACTATCTCCGCTAATACATCGCCATGCCGCCCTTAATTGGAGTGCTTTGCTTTTCTCAATTTGTCTCCCAATGGCCAGGACTGCATCCATTCAAGGTAATACGTACCCTGGCTTCAACCAGCTCCTGCGCAACGACATCCCTGCGCCCGACTCGTACAGAATATTCAGAAACTAAATCGAAAGAAACACGAGGCGAAAGCGGGGAATACATGCTCTGGACCTTTTCTAGACCCTTTTCTTGCCTGACAAGGGTTCGAGGGGAAGGTCACAAAAATCACGCCAATAGTCATTAGAACATGAAGGCAATACTAGCTGTGTTCAAGACGTGCACAAGGATGTTCATCCCTTGAATGGCGGCACTTTCTTTCTCATATTCATCTCGGGACCTCCTCTGAAGCCGACTGAGTCTCTCGACCCGAATGGTATGGCATGCAAACACAGCGACAATCTCCCCATTACCTCATCAGTCCGCGTAATGGCCGTGGAAATCCGTTTCCCGGTAAATCCTCGCGTAGTGGTATGTAGAAACAAGAACATTATCCAAGACCTGACAGTCACGTCAGAGAGAGATCCGGAGGAGAACGCCGAGGCTGTCGAGCCCTAAGCAGGCATGGAGAACGCGTTCTCAGCGGAGTGTGTGTAGCTACCATATGAGAGTGCAAATAGAAAGAATTAATACTGGAATCCGGACAGCAGGCCGACAACGCAACAGCATGAACACAGATAGTTGGAGGTAAGATGCATAGTGACTTCTCGCAACAGCGGTCCAGTGGCCAACTCGTACTGTTGTGGGTGACTAGCTGCGGTTCAAGGTGGCGAACGAAAGTGGTTCTCCGAGACGCGCCAGTTCATACTGTTACAGGACCTGTGATAAGTAGTAGTATGAGCACGATGTTGGATATCGTGCCCTTTCGGAATCCCATCGCAGTTAGTGGTGATGGGCCACATCAGGTCACCTGTGACCTGGCCCTACTTACTGGGCCACAGCCTGCACAGGTACCCGTGCAGGACAAAAGGAGAGTTAAGAATGCAGCTCGGACTCGCCACGTCGGTCATAGAGTGCCGGTGGCTCGCCAAACCTTTGGCCATCTGGGGCGTCAGGCTGCTATTAATTCCCAACGCACACGCGTGACGTGCACAGGAATTGTTTATGTAAAGAGGTCGGAGGTAACGCGATCATGCAGGGAACGATGACCCCGACGAACCATTGATTCTCCATCAATGTCCAACCCATCTGGGATTGTCCGAGCATCTGACTTCGGGTATTTCCCTTGCCCCGATTGGAAGGCCGGTCATTGATCGCGCATTGGTCTCTTGAGTCAACCCGATCAGGCTTGCAGTACTATGTAAACTTGGATGAACGGTTTTTTGTTCCTCGTAAAAGGAGTAATTAAGCTTACAAACCCCGAGCTATGAGTAGTGGAGGTTCGTATCTGTTGTCGCACGCTGGTCATGGTGGCCGTTTCGTATCGCCTCTACAAAGCTCTCTACAAGGCTCCATCCTTAGCCGCCTCCCAGAGACATGACAACAAGGCAAACATACGTGAAAAGTATATGACTACAGTCTCCAAGCACCTCTGCGTGAGCCCCGAAATATCGGGGCTTGTCGCTCATTGACCGGGCGTAACCCTCCTGAACAATAGTGGCACTCCCATCCTACCACTTTTGTCTCTCAAACCCTCTTCCCTCTTCAGGACAGAGTGTGAACTCCGCGGTGGGATGTCGGACTTGTTCATGTCAGAGCGGCGCATTTGGGTCACCGTTCGCCAACCTCAGTCTGACCAACCCCTGCCTTCCGTTAGCCCTTGCTTCCCTTCTCCTTCGTCGCCAGAAGGCTTGGGACACTACCTCCGCGGTGTCGGAGCTAGAGGGCTTAGCGTAGACTGATGATGCTAGTGGAGATTGATCTTCGTTCATATGGGGATTACGACAAATGAAATTCGAGCAGATGTGCCTGCTGACTTTGCCGAGCGGGCAGCGCTTAGGTGATATTGCACTCTTGGGGGAAACCTCATGGGTTCGTTGTTGATCCCCACGTACGGTGCGGAGAGTTCACTTTAGTATCGGTGGAGCACACACCCAGTCCTTGCGGAGGTACGTGCCTATCGGAGACAAAGCTGGTACGTAAGTTAGTGGACTGAAGAACCGGCGTCTGATGGGAACCCCAGTAACAGTTCGCACCCGAACAGAGACATTGTGTTCATATTTGCACTAACCCGACAATACCCATTCATGAGTTCATAAGGCACATATCCGATGATGAGTACATGCGGAGGTAGAACTGAAGTAGAGGATGCTCAGACTTTCCATATTTGGCTTCAACTTGAGAAATCAACTCCGCCCAACGACCGCCATGGCGTATAAGAGGTGCGCTTGTGGACGGCTTTACCAGCTTTCTCCTCAGGTTCCAGCATAAGCACGGTAGCCTGACCAAAGCACTTAAAACAAGTTCCCCACTCAAACCTTTCCAAAGTCTTTCATCGACACCTTCCCCATCGTATCCATGGATTCCTTCACTGCTATCACCTCCTACTTCTTCACCTCCGCTCAGACCGCAAAGGAGGACATCCGCATCGAGACCATTGAGCCCGTCGACATGGACGGTTCTGGAGGAGGTTCCAGCGGTTGTGTTGTTGTTTGAATGGCAATCTCCGTTTTTGCATGATGTGGAAGTGGTACGTGCTCCCTTTATCCTTTCATGTAACCTGTGAAGCTGACATCTCTCTTGCTTCCTTTCACAATAGATCACACCGCTCGCTCTGAATAGCATCCCTCCCACGCACATTATCGCTTTCGTTCCCCGACCTCCCGGTCCCTTGCGCTACCCATTTCGGGCCATCCCACCTCATTTCATCAACTTGACTTATTCTTATCTTCGTTCTCCATTGTGGACTCTATGGTGGTCGTCGCCTTTTGGTCTTTCGGATTTCGTTCATGCTGTGTCTGACCATTGTTGAGATGTATGTAACACTTTTGTGATTGTTGCGCCTGTTACTACACCTGTCTTGTTTTCTGTTCAATCATGTTTGTAAATCACAAACTGCCTATCCATTTGGTGTGTTCGAGCCATTCCGTCCGAACGGAAAAAGTCCCGTCGACCTATCTCTGGACAAATATGTGTAAATACAAGTTCCGAGATTAACTCCAAACAAAACTCGCATGGAAGGTCGGGCTGTTGTGTCTCCTTCGACTTATTCAAGGATAGGTTTGATTTGTGGTGTCCCTTGGCCAGATAGGCAGCCAAGTTGGAACACCATAATATTGACCTTCATGTCTCGACTATGTAGAACCAACGACCTTCACTCAAATGCACTTGTTGACAAGACTAGAGACCAAAAAAACCTGCACATCTGATTTGGTTGACCATATATTAGGATTAGGATCTTGATATGATCGACGACTTAGGGAAAGAACAGCGTTTGTGATCGGCACCGCTGCATAGAGACCAAAACGTCCGGCAACCTGGGTTGCCCACACGCAAGGCTACAGGCGCTAAAACAGCAATATCCGATTTGCCCTCGGCTCTGGCGTTGTTTTTCTTGGATCAGCTCTAGACCCAACTGGTCGCTCATCCAAATCTGACGCGTAGACCTTCCTTGTATCCTGCCGTAAGCAGAGTGTGACAGAATCTCCCATGCGACCTCTATTTGGGGTCGTTCGTTCTTTCTTTCTCTTTTCTCCCCCAGTTCTCTCGGCGCCCGCACTCGAGATTAAAATTAGTTCTTGATTCACGTCAAGTCCATAGTTATTCACGCTATGTTCACTAACTAGATCCCACCTCTGCACTTTCGTCATAGTTTTCAGAGACTTTCAGGAGCAAGAAAATGGACAACAGGAATCCGAGAAGACCAAAACCATGTCTCATGAAAATATGAAAATCTGATTCTGAAGAGTGTCATCAAGCCGCTGGCCAGTGCTGCCATAAGTAATTCAACGATGATCGAGACGAATAGAACTGAGCCGAGGCGCTGTGCGAGCTATAGGGGTAGCCCCAAGTCCACGAGCGAGAGTGAAAGTTGGGCGTCTTGGTCATCCAGGGAAGTTATTCGCGATGGTTTTCTTGGACGCTTTGTGCTCAGTGGTTTGGCTCCTCTAGAAGCCCCTGTGGGTCTAACTGTCTATCTCTCTAACATATCTCATTACTGTCTCACAGTCACTATGCAGATTGCTCTTCCCAAAGCCACAAATGGAATCCAGCATCATGTTTATTGGCTCTTCCTTCCTATCTGTAATGCCCCTATTATATGGACTCTACTTCCACTACGTCCCCCATCGTCGTAAAGCTTGGAGACGATCCTTATTACCCTAAACTCATGGCCCTACACGAGCGCATCGAAACTGTCCTCCCATCTGAAATTCTGACACCGAGGAAAGCAGTTCAAGGCCTGGCGATTTACGATAAGAAGAGCCACTATTGAAATTGCCCAATGATTTTTGTAGGAAACGCGAAGGAAACTGCTGATGGGCTTCAGGGCTTCAGCTCAAAGGTCCGCGGTACGGTTAATTGCCTCCCATTACATAATGGACAAGGATGCACCCACATTACAAGCCCCCCGCGCTCTCATCAGCTATATAGAAAAAATTAACAGGACAACTCTCATTCATCTGCATGATCTCTTCGAGGATTTGTTTGTCACTTCCTCCCGAAATTCCTTAACAACGCCGAGTTGCAGTGCGCGCGCATAATAACGATCTCGTCCCATACTTCCTTCAAGCTTCAGATCACTTCGAGTCGCACTTGCAACGGCTGCTCGTAAAAGCCCAAAAAAATCTAGACATCTGGAGAACTTGGGGGCTAAGGATGAGTGGACCAAGCATGAGAACGTAACAGTGACACGAGAAAGGATGAAGTGGCGAGTCTTTCTACCAGTTGAGATGAATAAAACTAATTGCTCGGGACCGCGTTTGTTAGTAGCTTGCGTATCTTGGACTATCTTCGGAGGCAACCGTGACCGTTTGATTTCCACGTTGAGCTCTTTAACTCGTTCTCAACATATCTTCACAAGCGCACAGCCGAGTTTCTGGAGTTGATGAAATTGCACAATGACCTTCAAGTTGACGACTTGTGGCTGAGCCTCTGATCAGTACGCTAATTGCTGGGGCCTCGGACTCGGGTAATTTCGCCAGAGGACTGACAAGCAAACTCCCACTCGAAGTACATATAGAGAGCATAAGAAGTGTGTGACGAGGTCGACGTCGTTGAGACAAGTGTAAGTTTGTTCGGTGGTTCAATTGTAACTGCTACGCTGTAACGCTGCAGCGCTTCTGGCCAGAAAGTTCCCACATCTCGAACTGAGGCATGATTTCTTGTTTGCAGTCCTCAACCCATGTAACGGGCCAGCCGCAACTCTGGACTTTCTCTCTTGGACATTTCTTTTTATCTCCGTTTCCTCGTTCATGTAGTCTGCATTGACTCGGAAATCTTGCATGTTTCTTGCATGTCTCTCATGTTTCTCCAGCCTCAAATTATATGTCCTGGTTGGCCCCCACGTATACAGAGCCTGGTTGCATGACCAGTGAAGACTGAAGCTTGAACTGGCCAACGCAAGTCACTCCCTAATCAACCTCTTGTCTTATCCCTCTACCATCTCGCTCTCAGCCCGATTCTTGATCTTGTCGCGTCATTTTTTCAGTTTCCACGTTTCATCGTCATTTTGGTTCGTGACGCGCCAGGTACGCCGACGTAACTAGCATTCGTGGGCATCAAACTTTGAACTCGTTTCACATGGATGCATAATAACAGCTAAAACTCCAGCGTCATACTGGCACGATCCGACATGCATGACTTCACTATCCGACGCTGGGCTTAATTTGACGGGACTAATCACCGGATAGCGCCCCACCCCAAACTGCACATGCGTTGCTTCGCCTGCATGGACCTCGTCCTCCTTGTATGTTTCTGTGCTTGGCTGCTTTTGCGTTTGTGATGATATTCGTTCTCATCTCGTGTGTACCGATCCTGAAATGTATGTATACTGGCTCAGCTCAACACGGACGTGCCAGCAGAAGTGTCGAGCTCAGTGCGTGGGGTCACCACCCAGGACATCTGACCGCCACCATATATGAGCTTACAGTACGCTTCTGGGAACTGAGTTAGCAGTACACTTGGGCTGCTCGCTTTTTTTTTCATTTCGTGTTGAGCAGAACTCATTTGAACGAGCGCTCATGGAGTACCGGTGTCTAGGCGTACTAGTTGCCAGTGCCATCACTGCTATAATACCGTTCGCTTTGACCATCCTGTTTTTGCTTGTCGATCTCCTTCCCCCGTACTCGACCGTGCCTGCGCAAAACCAAGCCCACGTATTCGTTCTCGCGCGCTACTGCCTCGGAGCGTTCTGCTGTCACGCATACGATTCTTTTAGTGTGTCTTATGTTTGAATTCTTGTTTTTGTTCTTTCCCCTCATATTCAATATCTTTTGTCTTACATTCACACCAGGATTCCGCGTTGCCGCTATCGCCTAATCATAAGTACTGACCACCCCAGCCGGCGTTCCCTCATCAGGGCATCTGCCAACACTGGTAAACACGGTAGCGCAAGTCGGAGCCTGAGGATCCAGTCCCTGTGCAGCGGTGCCATTGGGAAACGACGGTTAGCGCTCGTAAATCGTCAACCAGCCGATCGTAAGATGCCCCCAATACGCAGATTTTTGCTGCAAAGCTTGTGCGCAAACGGGCAGGGCGCTTAGTCAGAGTAGCGTACCCGGTAGTACAATAGAGTCGAAGACGCAGAAAACGGATAGAGGAGATCAACGGACGGCGGTAAAGTAGCACCGGACAGGAGATACACGAGGGACAACATAAGAAACAAGAAACGAAAAGTGAGAAACGACAACTGTCATAGGGGTACTCTTTCGCTAGTGAACAATAATGGATTGTCGCGGAGAAACTAAAAAAAGAATAACTAATTGACATGAACGGAAAAGATAAGTGAAAACTGAGGCGTAGGTACGTTGCAGGACCACAGGATAATCAGATCAGCAACCTGGATTTAGGTATGATGGTGACGCGGCGTTGCTTACACCAAAGGAAGTAACGCAGAGCTCAATAGGCGTGCATCTCAGTCTAACCAGTGCAATGAAAAGTAATATTGTACACAACTACCTGGATAAATACACGTCTGCTGAGATAGGTGAAACAGAGTGGAACGGATCCCAGCACGAATTCAGGCAAAAGAAAGGAACTGTACTTACAGTCAACATGCTTCTAGTGCACCATATGACGGAGCTGAGCTATAAAATCGACTAATGTAGGGGGAAGCTCCCGCCAGTGGCGTAACCCAATGTTAGTGGCGAAAAATACACGAGTGGATCTGATCAGCTTACCATGAAATGTGCTCCTTGCCCAACAATGAGGGAAACATAAGATGTTCCTGGACATGTAAGGATGTCAGCATGAGTCTCAATGTGAGAGGAGAAATGATACTTACGGCCAAACCTGTTGGGTGGACACTATGCGAGCCAACTGGCTCGCAAAGTTCCACCCTAACAGGAAAGGGGCATGGACAACAGGTGCAAGCGCCTGTGGGAACATGTCCATACCGATGCCACGAGGGCGTCCCGCCAAAGTGTCCCTCTCCCACTCTCCCGAAATAAACGGGACATACCGCTGCGTGAACGAGTTCAATGAATATTGGTTGCTAAGAAAATCATGATACGTACTCGTCATATGACGGAAGTGATGTGTTCGCCGCTTCTGTTGGAAGTATGACCCAGAAATAGTGATTGATGAGCTACCCAAGAAGAGAAAGATCCAGGACGAAATACACATAAAGAAACTTGGCGACAGGGTACTCCAAAGGAAGTGGGTTGTGACCGAAAGGCTGGAAGGCTGAGAGCTTGAAGGGAAACGGCCCGGGGCAAGAGCATACGTCGAGACCAGGTGACAGAAACAACATGTTGGAGCGGAAAGGAAGGTGGGTCGTTCTTTCTCACTGTGCATCCATCGGATAGAAAAGGGAAAAGGGCGTGTATGGGTTCCTGCACCTCTGCTTTGTTGTCCATTCTCCTTTGTCGATGGAACCTGCAAAGCGCGTCAAATCTGTAAGGTGTACAACGGGTCATCGGAGTCCATGGGCAGCCCAAATGGTCATAGAGGGAAAGCAGGATGTGTAGACTCGATAACCAGTAAAACTGATCCACAAGCAGTTCGCCAAAGCAGACACGGCCAGGTTGCATGAAGATGAGAGCTGTGATCATAGGTCGTGAAGACAGGCGACGACTAGAGTTCCGGGAGCAAGGGCGCAGGGAAAAACGAACTGGCAGACTGGTCAGAACTGCGAGCGAAAGCGAGTCGTGCTCCGCGGTTGCGCATCCATCGGATTGAAGGGGCCCCATGTGTCCTTGCACTTGATTCAGTTGGTTGTTGTTCGCTTCCTAGACGATGGAATCCACAAGGCACGTCGGTCACAGGTCGATGAGAAGGCCAAGGTGCCAAAGTGCAGTAAGCGAAGAAGATCGACAACCTACAAATCATCTAAAACGTCAGAGTTGTTGCGTAATAGGCAGGGAACCTGTACAGAAAGGGACTTGAAGGATCGCAGATGGTTCGAATGGCAGCATGGGTAACGCGCTAAGGGTATCAAGTGAAGGGGTAGAAGATCGATGGGGGAACGTCAACGTGGACAACGAGTGGGACATCGAGGGCCTTGATTCATGAGGTGAAAGAGGTTCAGAATGGCCACAGACCAGGCTTCGAGAGACAATCCAAGGACGTCAAAGGCGAGTAGCGACTGGGGTTCCGAGAGCGAGGGGGGAGAAGAAGGAACTGGTGGGGAGAACTAATGCTCAGACCACGCTTTTATGCCTCTCAGACCTATTCAATCCTCTCCTCGTGATGACCAAGCTCCAGACTGCTGAAAGAATGAATAAAACCTTCCAAATTCAGCCACCTTCTTCGTCGAAATTCCAACTGGCGATATGAACATGATCCCAGAATACGTAGTTGATATTTCACAAAATCCGAGATTTCTCGTCAGCCAGTGCACCGTTTAGCTTTGTTCAACTGCGAAACTGCTCCCAAAACGTCCCGCTACAATATCCGTGAGCAGGAGATTGGGGGACGATACAAGGTGACACCAGGAGGGCCTGTTGGGAAGACGTATTCACTCTTTGGCTAGGAAGATGGCTAGGAAAGATCCGGTCATCAAGGCGATGCATCAGCATATTAGCCAGATTGGTTATTCGTATTAACCGAATTGACTGTATATAGAAGAATTTGCGCACCCCTGACAGGTCATGCCCCGAAACCATCGCTGCACTGGGCCGAAAAGTTTGCCGCATGCCTGGATATACCGGGACCTTCGCTGAAGAGTGTAGCGGTGCACGGTGTCGCCGACGCCACTTGGTGGCAAAGAAAACTCCAACCGACGCTTCCACGAATGCGACATGGACCCTTCAGCTGCTGTTAGGGCAATATTTCGTAAATGAGATCAAGTATCCAGATCTTCCCAGCCGATTCAGTCAATTCCAACTTGGTAAGGGATTTCTCCCGAGACACAGATCATGAACCATCTCATTCCGTTTATGATGAGCGTGGAGAAATGCTCATACAAAGTTGAACGATTGGAAGAGGACAGACCAGATGAGCTCGCGATCTGGTGTTCGAACGTTGCGGAAACTTTAGGAAACCAAGCCCATCTCATCAAGAATGCTACCCAAAAAACGGAGATATGTAACAAAGATTACCTAAGTGTTAGCTGGCATTGTGATGAATGAGGAAGGTTCGTTCCCACCGGCTGCCCTGCGCTGAATGGATGGACATTGGACCCACACTCCGGGTCCGCCACGTGCCAAGGGCACAAGGTGCAGCTGCACCAGACATCACAAAACACGCCAATGGCAAGCCGCATTCAGCAGTTGCAGAAGTATACGTCTAGCTGGGGAAAATTTTTTAAATAGGAAATCTTGTGGCGAGCGCTTACAGTCCCCTGTGTGGCGAGATGGTTTCTCGGCTTATACACGTTGAATCCATACCTGATAAAGTTACCCCCAATTATAGGCTTAATTTTAGCATCCATGAACAGCTTCTGTTCATTACAAAATGAGTGGTGGAACGCCGACGTAAGTCTCGTCATTAGCCTTTTCGCTGTATCTGCCACTGAAGCCAATGGTTCCAGGGCCGTACCCGTCTACCGTATTGGCTGCACCATCTGATCAAACGAAGCCACCCCTTCGACCCACTCCTGCCGTGCGATCGAACATTACATATCAAGGGTGAAGGCTGCGTGCGATGTAAACGCCACTGGTGCTCTCAAGGAATGATGCGACAATTTCCGAATGCCTGAAATTTGTCAATAGACATCAAGTCAATATGGGGATCGCGAAAGATCAACATCTCTGCTTTCACTGGAATGGAGAGATACTCTGCCCCTCCATTCCCGTGAACAACGGAGATATTGGCCTTCAGGTCACATAACGACTGATGGATATCGAACACACCCGTCTTGTCCTAAGAATCGAAAAGCCCGCAGAGTCGCAACTCATGCGCAGCAAATGACTCGTTGTGGTGCCCGTTATTAGCATGGGTGCTAGTCAGTTCAGCATGAGCAACTCCAATCATGTTTCGACTCTGAACGCTGACGCATATTTCCCGGTTACAAGCATAAACATCGTGCACGAGCCCCAAGGTGATCGTTCTATTCTGAGACATACCGCGACCAGGTCTGAGAAAGTTTCCAGAACTTGATGTCGTCTCAACCACCAGCTGGAGTATGGCTACTTCTCATAGAGAGACGCCTGATCGATTTCCGTTCATCTTCAAGGATGAATGTCCTGTGCTGCGAGAGGGATGGAACCTGGAAACGAGGAGAGAGAGAGATGACTCAATACTCTGAATGAAAGTTCCTTCCATACTTTCTTATCCAACTCGTTCGAGCGTTGGAGGACTGCAGCATGTTAGTTCGCCTGCTAACGACAGCGATATGGACTATTGTAGCTGTTGTTCCGTCTCCTCACCTCAAAAGTGACATCCTGGGGGAGGTGAAAGCTTGTTGAGGTGCATCTTCAATTCCGTGATCTCACTGGAACGATACCCTCTCACTCTCGTGCATGTGAGGCCAAGGCATTGTCCTGGCCCAACCATTCTCCCTCCCATCCAGGCGCTTCTACCGGTAGGAGACGGAGATGCCCGACACTGCCCGAACTTCCGCGCCTGGTTCACGTATGAACAGTCTTGTCTATTCCCTAACCGAACCACCCGTACCGCTCCGTGCGAGTGAGTGTTCGTTTCCACCATGCGAGAATAAACGTGTGCGATTCGAGTGAACGCACAGAAAAATCGTTGATTTGTTGAGCTCTGATTCAATTCAGGACACCCGGCAGCTAGCGTGAGTATGCAGAATGCAGAAATTTTACTTGAACCCGTTTCCACCACCATTCTGTCTTTTCGTTTTGGCGACCGCTTCCGCGCCCCTACACCGATCTATGCCCAACTCGTCAATTTATTGACTTCCTACAAGACTCGCTTGCGTTTTAGTGGCCTCAGACCTGTTCTTCTTTCTTTCTGCTTACAATCCGCTGGATTGTTTCGATTCTCTACCCGCAAACACCCATATCCATTACTCTACAAGTGCCTAATGAATCTCCCATGAATCTCGAGTACAATTACATAAATTAGAACCGGGTCATCCAGGCTTTGGAGTACAAGGTCCTCCAAAAACTCCCTCCTAGCCACGATAGTCGAGAAACTTGATTCGCGATCCGAGGGTTCCCGCTTTTCCCGGGTGGACGTGCCAAACTTATCACTCCAGGTGGTCGCTTACACTGAACGGCCCTGTCATTCATTGTTGGTCTTTTGGCTGCTAATTGCTCATGGCCCAGCCGAACCCAGTGGTTATGAAGCGCTGCAGCCAGTGTCCTGGTGAAGGGGGGGTCTCCTGAAGAAGGCATGACTAGCTAGTATCGTCTTGTCAGCTCATCTCGAAAGATCCAGGGGGTGCCGCTGCCGCGCATCGAAATGAGTTGCCCGACTCGGACGGTTATCATTCGTAATCGCTTGATCACCAGTTGTCCCTGACATCCCAGCGATTCACCCGTCATCAACAATGTCACTGAAGCAGAAGATCAATGATCCCCTTGTGACGGGAGTTGACTGTGCAATTTCCATTCTCACAGTAATCGATGCCGTGTCTGATCTGCTCCCTCCCCTAAAAGCTGCCACCGGAGGGGCACTCTTCATCTTGGACGAGGTCAAGATTGGTGGCGATTTATATGCGAAATTACGCACGGAAGCGCTGATAATTATTGTTCTGTAGATGTTCAAGGAGAACAGGAATCAATGGGAGGCTATACATCGTCAAAACAATGGCTGACGTGGTCACGGCCGTTGACTCGTATGACGCGTCGAGCGAAGAGGGAAAGCGATGTGTAGAAAGTGTTACAATGCTAAGCGAGTAAGCAGCATGTATCCACTGGTCCCCTGGCTCGTAATGACACGACGTTTGGTAGGGCATTGCAGCGTATCGAAACCAAAATCAGTCAATTGCTTCGCAAGATGGGAAAGCGGCCCGCTGTCATCAATTTCATCTCTCACATGAACAATCTGGGCATGATCAGTGACCTCAGGAAAGATTTCTGTGAGGCTTTAGAGTCGTTCCAGGTGACAACGCCCAATCGCTGTTATTGTGTTGCCCCCCTGATCTTAAGGTGACGGTCATCATGCAGGTGAGGACGGGCTTGACCATTGGTGTTATTGCAAGTACAACTCGCGGAATCGAGAGTGCCTCAGCTCTGAGCGAACTCCAATACCCCGTTATCGCCCACCATGATTCGACTAAGGCATGCCTCGACGGCACTAGAATTAATCTCATTGAGTACATTATGGCCTGGTGCTACAACGTGAGGGAGAGTGAGAAACGTGGGATGCTGTTGACTGCTGTGGCCGGTGCTGGCAAGACATCCCTCGTGCACTCAGTCGCAGAGAAGTGTGCGAATGGAGGTGCGCTGTTGTTGAGCTTCTTTTTCAAAGTAGGAGAGCAATCGCGGCCAGATCACCTGTTCAGCGGCATGGCTCGATCTCTAGCAGTGCACGACCCTACCTATCGCACCTCAGTCATATCTGCCCTTAAGAAAGATCCGACTCTCGCGACTGCCCCATTCACAATGCAATTCAGTAAATTAGTGGCTGAGCCTCTCCATCGGAAAGCGTTGCCCTCCGATCGTCCTATGGTGATATCTTGGATGAATGCGAGCAGCAAGCGTTCGAGGACCTAGCCGATATACTTCGAGACGGGGTACCCAAGCTACCAGCCAACATCGAGGTTTTTCTCACCTCGAGACAATTCGACCTTACCAACCAGGGATGTATATAGAATGGTGAGTTCAACGTGACTGGCAAGAACACATTGGGGACGTTTCAGATAACAGACAATGCAGGGAAATAATAGCGCTCATGGTCGTTTGGCACCCTGCACATGCACCAAACAGGCGCTCAAACGATCAGGGTGTGCCAATGATTTGCCTCTGATCTGTATCTGTTTTTGGATCATCACCTGGCATTCATCCACATCTGACACCCCAAGCTTTTCTTGCCACCAAGATATCACATACTGGGAGTCGGACATAGTCAGGGTATGGGACCCCAAAATGCAGTGATTAGTCTGTTTGGACACCGGAATTCCTCTTACGACCTCTGGATATTTGGGGTTGTATCTTCCCTCTCTTCAGCTCTCTAAGTGCCCGCGCGCTCGAAATTGAGGTCGGTAGTTAATCATAGTATTCAAAAGCGAGCAAATGGGCAGACGGAAATACAAGAGGAGAAATCACGACCAGGACCACGTCTTAGAAGTATCTGGCCTCGAAGTCACGTCATCAAGCCGGTCTGCTATTCCTGCGACAAGAAATTCAACGAGGGCCAAGATGATTAATCGGACTGCGCCGATACTCCGCACCAGCCGCAGGGATAACCCTGATTTCGGGGACGAAGGCGAAAGCTTGATGTCTCAATCATCCAAATCATTCAGGGGATTTCGGTGGTTATTCGCAGCGACCTCTATAGGCGCTTTACGCTCAGTACTTTGGCTCTTCCAGAAACCCCTGTGAGTCTAGCGGTAGCCCAAAGTTCGTTCCCCTAACATATTTTCCCCACCTCCAGCAGTCTTGCGGTCGCAGTGTACATCATTCTTTTCATCCTTGCCAAAAACCACAAACACAATCGACCGTGAGATTCGCCGACTCTTCATTCCTATCTGAAATACCCCTATCATAGTCTCTACTTCCCCTATGTCCCTACGTCCTAAAGCCTGTAGCGGTCGATCTCGATTACACGAAATTCATCGCCATACGACAGGCCTTTGAACCTATTCTGGCCCTTACATCAGGCGCACCCTTACAAACGACGGATGCTGCATCAGGTTCTAGTATTCCAGCCGGAGGCTCCTCTCTCTCCCTCTTATACGATATTCGAAACTCGGAGGCCGCAGTTTGAGATCCAGCTGTTCTTGTCAAATTCAGCGATTTACCATCAAAGGAAGAACTATTGAAGTCGATCAATGGTTTTGTTGGAAATACGAAGGGACTTCAGCGCTTGGGTGCAAAGGTCGGCGGTACAGTTGATAGTGTGCTAGCGTACATCTTACATCAGAATTGCTCCTTCGCGCAAGTT